ATATGGGTGATGCAGAATAATTATGATTAATATTATTATTATTAAATTCTTAACTTATTCTCTAAGATACTTATGTTGCTAATAATAATAATAATAATAATAATAATAATAATAATAATAATAATAATAATTTATACCAATGGGTTTTGAGAAAAAAAAGTGAAGTGTCTCTATTGCTTTTTATAAGTTATTGTCGTTATTTAAGTTATGCTATTGTTAGGATGCCTACATACTTTGCTAACTTTATGTACTTTCATACTTTAATCCATTCTAATTTCAAAGTTTGTTGCTTTTGAATTTTGATTGATGGGTTTTGGAAGAAAAATGAAGTTTTTCTGTTATTTTTTTGTAAGTTTGTGTCGCTGTTTAAGTAATGCTACTGTTAGGCTGAAATATTTTTCAAGTCTATGTACTTTCATACTTTAATCTGCTTGAAATTCAAGTTGTTCTATTTGAATGTTGATTGGTGAGTTTTGAAAGAAATTGGACTAAATGCTTGTGTACATTTATGAATTGCTCGTTTTTTATGGGTCGATGTTATTTCTACAAAAGGGATGTACGGGCCAGTAGCATACTTGTTGACGATAAGTTTGAAGTCCGTTTGGGAAGCCTGAGTCACATCTCGGCCGAGCGCGTGCTCAAGGACAAATCAAGATTGACATGGTATAAAACAAAACACTGGCAAGCGAATCAATTGTCTCGAGTTCTCTTAGCTCTTGATTTTTTGCAATTTCATGTTTTGGTTAGCCACTCGAAGAGATGCTAACTCGCCCCAATCTCCGTTTCTTCACAGGCGAACTACTAAAAAGGCAACATCGGGTAATATCTGCATTCATGTTCAATTAAATAAGAGCTAAAAAAATGTTGAACTTCTCTTGTCTCGGATGCGAGTTAATTTTCAGGTAAAGCGACAAAAGAAACGTGTGCGTACGATGTCTACTGTTTTGGGAAAGTCCTGCTCGAGCTGCTGACCGGTAACCTAAGAATTAGTTCGGCAGAGGATACAAATTTGAAGGAGATTTTGGAGATAACATTGCTAAACATAAGTACGTTTAACAAGGAACTTGTTGCAAACATTGTGGACCCATCATTGATTATTGGACCGGACCACTTGGATGAAGCTTGGGCCGTGGCAATTGTGGCCAAGGCTTGTCTGAATCCTGTGCCGATTAAACGGCCCATAATGAGACATGTGCTTAAAGCTTTGGAAGATCCTTTTAGTGTGGAAATGGATGAGAAATCAGAAAGGCTTGAAACAAATCCATCTTAAATATGGTCTTCAGTTGAGAGTTAAGTAGAGGCAAGCAAGATACTAGATTTGAGCTCAAAATAATTGTGTAAGATTTAAGTTTGTTCTAGAGTAACATAAAATAAAGAAGAAAGAAAGTGTCATTTTTAAATTTCCAATTATGTCTTTTTTTTTTTCATTGTAAAGTTTTAGAGATGATATGAGTTCGAGCTCCTAATACTCGAGGTTTTATCGAGCAGAGTCGAAAGCGAGCCTTAACAAGCTGAGGTAAAGTAAATAAATTAAAAAATCATATTTTCAAACTTAACAAAAGCAAAAACGAGTAAAATTAAATCAAAAAGAATATTTTTCCGCCAAAATGAAACACATAAATGTTTGAGAAATTGAAGAAAAAAATAAAAATAAAAATACGCCAGACTCCTTATCCAGAACATTCCAGAAGCTTCCGCAAACCCGAACACGAGCCCCCACTCCCACTGCCATCGGATCTAGGGATGATCTCGAGGTTCCCCCGCCGTTTGATCGCCATGGCCACCGACAACTTCAGCGATCGGAACCTCCTCGCGCGGGGGAGCTCCGGCGACCTCTTCGTCTGGCGTATATCCGAACCCGTCGTGGTGAAGCGGTTCGGGTTTGCGAACGGCGGCGCGTTCTCGTCCGAGTTGACATCTACAGGTACCTGCCGAGGAGGGATCTCGCGAACGCCTTCTATCTCGAGAAGGACGGCGATGACGTGGACGGATTGCGGTCGTTGGATTGGATCTCGCGGTGGAAGATAGCAAGGGGAGTTGCCGAGGGCCTGGCTTACCTGCACCACGACTGTTATCCGCCTCTCGTCCACGGGTACCTTTTATACTTAGCCACATTATACTTCTCCCTAAAGTACTAATTAATGGAGTTCTTGATTTGCCATAGTGAAGGATGATTTATGTGAACTAGAGGGAGTTTTGTAGTAACTATCGGTTGTGTTTATATGCCGCTCGTTTTTTTTCTTGATTGATGGTTCTTGCTGCAAAAAGGGATGTACAAGCGAGCAGCATACTGCTCGATGATAATTTCGAAGTCCGGCTTGGAAGCCTGAGTCGAATCTCGGTCGAACGTAGTCCGAAGAACAAATCTGCGTCAGTCACCTGGTATGAGTTGTGAACTGCTGATCAAATTGATCTATTTGAAAGAGTTGATTAGATTTAGCTCATGAAATTTTACCTTCGTTTTACGCAGGAGTTCTAAAACGTCGAGCTCGGGTAAGTCCAACAGCAGCAGAAAAATGATGTTGTTTGCAAATAACTCTGATGAAAAGACATGAAAAATGAATGCATTCTTTCTACCTCAAATTTTTGATCAGGTACAGTAATAAAAGAAACGCGAGAGTATGACGTGTACTGTTTCGGGAAGGTTCTGCTCGAGCTTGTGACGGGCAACCTGGGAATTAGTTCGGCTAACGACTCGAATCTGAAGGAGATATTAGAGGCAACATTATTGAACATCAATCTGTATGACATGGAGCTTGTCACGAGCATTGTTGACCCGAAACTGATTATCGACGAGGATCTCTTGGAGGAAGTGTGGGCCATGGCAGTTATCGCCAAGTCCTGTCTTAATCCCGACCCGAATAGACGGCCCATAATGAGATACGTTCTTAAATCTTTGGAAAATCCTTTGAGGGTCGTGAGGGAAGATGATACGGCTAGGACTGGAAACGAGTCTGTCATGAAAAGGCTGCAAGATGCAGGGTTGTTAACGAACCGAATAGTTCGCAAACAGAAGCTCGTTCGTGTTCGATAAGAGCCCGTTCGTTTGTTAATCGAGCCGAGTTTGAACTGAAAATTAGGCTCGTTTAATAATCGTACAAATACGAGTTCTTTCGCGAACGTTCTATGATGTTCCATGAACATTAATGTAATATTATTTTATTTTATTTTGTTTTCGTAAATTTTTGCATGATATTTTTTAATAAGAAATCTAAAATACAATTTTTGTATTTTCGAGTGAATCCAAACATATTTAAAAAGTCCGTGTCCTAAATTATTCGACCACGAACGAACTCGAACTTTGACAAACACTTAAACGAACGAACTATAACACAATTTTTTGCTCAAAAATAAGTGACCGAGCTCGAATAGTATTTGAACGTAAACAAACACAAGCTCTTAAATACCCAAGCTCGGCTCGTTCGGTTCGATTATAGCACTAACCTCAACAAGAAAATGAGATTAGAAAGAAAGTCTTTCTAATCTACAGCATAAGCATAAATTTGTTTATATAGTTGCACAAATTCCACATCTACAACATTAAATAAGAAAAAATAATGGGTTTCATGTAGTTATCAATAATCAATACAACAACAACAACATACCCAGTATATTCCCAATTGGTTGGGATCAGTTGTACGCAGACCTTACCCTTGTAATTATACAAGGAGGCTGTTTCCGTAGCGACCCAAGTGGCATTGCGTTGTTTGATTTTTTTTATTTTTTTTTTCTAGAAACTTCACTAATAGAAGAAGCACTAGAATTTAATTGAGTCATTTTGATCTAGTCCATTATTAGCACTATGCCAGGAGAATTGTCAACAATGACTCTCCTAGCTCCATTTGCAATGGACAATTCAATAATCAATAATAATAATAATAATAATAACAATATGTTATAAAATACAGGGGATATAAAAAACACAATGTATAAAAACCGGATATAAATTATAGCAAACTTTTCTCTCTTCCTCTTTCTATTTTCGTCCGTCACTTTCTTATACAATAAATGAACACTTCTCTTGCCTTTTATAGGCAAAACTTAAGGCACACAACCCAATGCACATTAAATAGAATAATGTAGATAAGATTTACTAGTGGTAAATTCCACTTTTACATAACACTCCCCCTTGGAATTACCACTATTAAATGTGTTTTATGCTGCCTCGTTAAAAACCTTATCTGGAAAAACCCTGTGGGAAAAAACCGAGACAAGGAAAAAAGAGTACAGCCGCACATACTCCCCCTCGAGTTATCATCTGTACAAATCCTGAAGATGCCTCATCCCAATATTGTGCACGTGCTTTCGAAATATTGTCGTCGGAAGCGCCTTCGTAAACAAATCTGCTGCATTGTCGCTTGATCGGATGTATTTAACTTTGATTTGTTTGTTTCGTTCAAGCTCTTGCGCATATAAGAATAACTTTGGCGGGATATGTTTAGTTCTGTCACTCTTGATGTATCCTTCTTTGGTTTGAGCGACACATGCTGCATTGTCTTCGAATATCACCGTCGGGTCATTATTGTTTGATAGTCCACTAGCTTGTTGAATATGTTGAGTCATGTTTCTGAGCCAGATACTTTCTCTATTTTCTTCATGAAGTGCAATGATCTCATCATGGTTTGAAGACGTCGAAACTAACGTTTGTTTCTGGGAGCGCCGAGAAAATGCAGTTCCACCAATCGTGAAAATATAGCCGGTTTGAGATCTTGCTTTATGGGGGTCTGATAGATATCCTGCATCTGTAAAACCGACCATTTCATGTTTTTTTATCATTAGAGTAAAACAATCCCAAATCGATTGTCCCTTGGAGATAACGGAATATATGCTTGATTCCATTCCAATGTCTCCTCGTAGGTGCCGAGTTATATCTTGCTAATAAGTTGGTAGCAAAAGATATATCTGGCCTGGTACAATTAGCAAGATACATACGAGCTCCTATTGCACTCATACATGGTATTTCAGGACCAATTATTTCTTCATCTCCTTCACAAGGTCGAAACGGATCCTTTTCAACATCTAATGTTCGATTGACCATTGGGGTACTAAGTGGATTCACCTTATCCATATTGAATCGTTTCAGTATTCTTTTAGTGTAATTAGATTGATGGACAAATATCCCATTTCGGGCTCGTTCTATTTGCAAGCCGAGAAAATATTTGGTTTGTCCGAGATCTTTCATTTCAAACTCGCCTTTTAGTAAAGTGACTGCTTCTTGAATTGCATTTGTAGTCCCATTAATATTAAGATCATCGACATAGACAACAATTATCACAACTCCATCTTGTGATCTTTTTATAATGACACACGGGCATATTTGATTATTTATGTATCCCCTTTTTAGTAATTGTTCACTCAAACAATTATACCACATGCGTCTGGATTGTTTCAAGCCATACAATGATCTTTGCAGTTTTATCGCACATAACTCTTTAGGTTTGGACTTTAGTGCCTCGGGTATTCTAATTCCTTCTGGAATTTTCATATAAATGTCAGCGTCTAACGATCTATATAAGTAAGCAGTCACAACATCCATAAGACGCATCTCAAGATTTTCATGGATGGCCAAACTAATCAAGTATCTGAAAGTAATTGCATCCATAGCAGGGGAATATGTTTCGTCATAATCGATCCCAGGCCTCTGGGAGAATCCCTGTGCTACAAGGTGAGCTTTATATCTTGTGATCTCGTTTTTCTCATTTCTTTTTCTGACAAAAACCCATCTGTATCCAATAGGTTTTATGTCTTTGGGTATAATGGTTATAGGTCCAAAAACCTTTCGTTTATTAAGCGAAATTAACTCGGCTTGAATAGCACCTTTCCACTTGTCCCAATCATGTCTTTTCTGACATTCAATCATAGATTTTGGTTCAGGATCCTCAACTTCTTTATCAATTTCTTGTGATACCATATATGCAAACGTATCATCAGTGATCTCATCACGCTTCCAAAGTTTCCCATTATTTACATAATTGATGGAGATTTCAATATTTTTATTTCGTTCCAAAATTTTTTCATCATCTTGATTCTTTTTCAAATTTGAATCTTGAATTTCTCTTTTCTTTCGAGGATTCTTATCTTTAGATCCCACTGGACTTCCTCGTTTCAAGCGTGCCTTTAATTCATTTGGCACATCGTCATTTGCCATTTCTTTTGTAATCTCAATTCGAGCAGGGGCATTTATAGCTGTAACATGTGATTTTGTCACCCTTTTTATGTCAGTAAATGCATCTGGCAATTGATTTGCAATATTCTGCAGATGTATGATCTTTTGAACTTCTTGCTCTCTTTGTTTGGTGGGAGGATCTAGATATGATAGTGGTGATGTTCTCCATTCAATATTTCTTTCAATTGACTTTTCATTCCCACCTAAAGGGGGAAATAATTCTTCATTAAAATGACAATCATCAAACCGAGCTTTAAAAACATCACCTGTTTTTGGCTCAAGGTATTTTATTATTGATAGAGATTCATATCCAACATATATTCCCAACCTTCTTTGAGGCCCCATTTTCGTACGTTGGGGCGGAGCAATTGGTACATACAATGCACA